TGTAGCATCTCAGAAGATCTTTTGCAAATTTCCCGCATTTCGACTTCGTTTGAAAGCACATCGCCAAGGGGCTCCGGCCACCTTCAATCGGGAGCAGCTGCCGCAGCAGGCAGCCGGTCCTCAGATTCATGCCACCGATATGTGCCTGTTTGGACTTGAGATGCATATTTTTGGCTTCCGCTCTCTTCGAATCTGTTGATCGGGTCACGCAGTCTCGATTTGTATTGAATTTTGTGTTCAACAGCCTCGACGTATACTGATTCCTGCCCTGGCGGTGATCGAAATCCGAATTCCTCTCTCTCCAACGTTCCACCGCTTCTGGCACTGTTCAACTGCTTCCGTTCCTGAGAGTGGGTCTAGCCAAGGATTCGGATGATCACGAAGGACAGTGGCACACGCCAGTTCTTTTCAAAGGGCAGGTGTTCCGAACTGCTAAGCAGCAAAGCGGCAAAGGTTTGCTTACAGCCGTCGAAAGGGTGTTCCAATTGGCTCCGAGGGATTCGGATCATAAGCTCACAAAGAGCTACCCAATGCGTGGTCTGGAGCCGCCAAGCAGTTGTGCGTGACGGTATGCAATCGTGACTTCAAGATGTCTCCGGCATGTTGGTCTGCAGGCCACGCAATGATACGCAATATACTGCACTTGTCACAAGGTTCGCACCACATAGTGCTCAAAAGGAGGAATAGTCATTAGAGTCTATTAGAGTTACAAAAAGATGACTAGTGCATGTTGTGCGGCATTGGAAGGACTGCCAGTTTTGCCAGTGAGTTCAGCGCGGTGCTACATGTGCAGCTGGAGTGGCTGATGCGACCGCGCTTCATCGTAAATGTCAATTTGCAATGGACACTAGGACCTCAGCTGAAGATGATTTGCTTGGCTTCAGTTCCAAGGGGTCAGGCAGGACTTCAGGGAGACAAAATCACGAACAAGTGCATTGATGCCACTCCCGGAGGCTGCCTTCGCTTACAGAGTTGCCAGGGGGATGCGTTGCATGTCGGCGGAGATCTCTCGAGCCCCATCAGCCGGGTACATTGAAGGCAGCACAGCCATGCTTTCCGGAAGACGCTCCGTCCTCCAATTGAGGACCGCTCCTAGCCGCCTCAGCTTGATTCGGGTCCCCCGTTCGCTAGGGTGGCTTTGGTGGCGCCCGCGGTGCCTTCACCTTGGAGAATCGAACTTGCAGGCCTTTTGCACATCGTCGCAACAGCTGTCTCCTGTCGCCAGGGTTCGTGCCAATCAGTCCAGAACATCTTGCCGATAAGACCGGTCTGACCAGCACTGCGATTTCCGATTGAAGTTCATGCTGCAAGGCTGCAAGATTCTGTGCTTGCAGGGTCGGTTCGCCGCGTCTCGGTGACTCCTACGGCAACGGAGATGTCGAGAGTGTGTGGAATCGAGATTAGTCTTTGCTGGAAGCGGCATTATGCGGCATGTACGTGGCGAAGTGCAGCCCTTGTGCTCGAGTCCGTTGCAGTAAGCAAGGACTGTATCTCAAAGACCCCTTCGTCGCTGAAGTTGTTCAAGGCAAGGCGGTGTTCTGGGTATGGCAGCAGCTGGAACCAATCTGCAAGCTGCTCGCCAGAAAGCCGTTGGAAAGTGGGTTCCAGAAGACTGG